CTTCTTTTCCCTAACCAAACGCCCTCCCCCCTGATTTTCAGGGTGGGCCCCAGCCTCCACTAATATCCAATTGAAGGCTGCCAACTCATTTCATTCGTAAGATACGTAAAAATATTTTCGTAGGTGTAGCATTGCTCCAAAGCAAAAATGCTAGACTTACGTAATGCTGTTACGTATCCTACGTAATCCTTTTTTTCCCTAACCAAACGCCCTCCCCCCTGATTTTCAGGGTGGGCCCCAGCCTCCACTAATATCCAATTGAAGGCTGCCAACTCATTTCGTTCGTAAGATACGTAAAAATATTTTCGTAGGTGTAGCATTGCTCCAAAGCAAAAATGCTAGACTTACGTAATGCTGTTACGTATCCTACGTAATCCTTCTTTTCCCTAACCAAACGCCCTCCCCCCTGATTTTCAGGGTGGGCCCCAGCCTCCACTAATATCCAATTGAAGGCTGCCAACTCATTTCATTCGTAAGATACGTAAAAATATTTTCGTAGGTGTAGCATTGCTCAAAGCAAAGGCAGGGAGCGTGGCGCATGTGAGAAAAATAACTCACCGGCCGGCCGGAGCCTCCCGTTCCATCCTCCGGAGGTGGCGCGGTGAATTCATCCGCCACCCTTTTCAATTAATGCGTCCGAGAGGCTCCTCTCTAGAGCAGTGCACAAACGCCCACAAATTTCAACCCACTCGATATCTTCTTCCTCCTCAACTTGTTCACTGCAGGCTCTTCTTCCGGCGGACGCACAGCACACCGGCCGTGCATGCACGCATGAAGGCCGGCGTGTGATCGCAGATCGGGAGCCAGCTGCATGCATGCGCTCGCCGTGAGGTTATCAAAGCTACGTCGTCGCGATCATGGAAAAACAGGTACATGCATGCATCGATCACGCACCGCCTGGCCATGCATGGCCGATCAGTTTCGGATGTGTTTGTTGGTCACCATGCGTGGTCGCTCTGAGCAGGGAAGCAGCCACCAGCTGGACACCTTCGCTCAACTGGACGGCGGGGCGGCGCCGGAGGAGCCGATCGGTGGCGGCGCGGCAGCTGAGATGGCGGACTACATGCTGGGCCAGACGACGCCGCTGCCTCCGGGAGGGCCGCACGGCCAGGTGTCCTTGGACAAGCTCAGCTTCTCCGACGTGCTACAGTTCGCCGACTTCGGCCCCAGGCTCGCGCTCAACCAGCCGTCCGCCGACCACGACGACGCCCGTGACGACGACGAGGAGGACAGCTACTTCTTCAGGTTCCAGTCCCAGCTCTCCGGCTCGGACGACCCTGATCCCCGCGGAGGCGCAGGTATCCTCCACGCGGCGGAGCACGAGGGCAGCAAGACGGCGGACGGATCAGGAGGCCCGCACGATCACGGCGGCGGCGTCTCCGAGAGCACCACGCTGGTGCAGCAGTCCGACGGTGGCGGCAGGGTAGGCCAGAAGGCTGGCGGGGAGCAGGCGAAGAGCGGGCGGCGGAAGCGGCCCAGGTCGACGAAGACCAGCGAGGAGGTGGAGAGCCAGCGGATGACGCACATCGCCGTCGAGCGCAACCGGCGGCGACAGATGAACGATTACCTCAGGGTCCTCAGGTCCCTCATGCCAGGATCCTACGTCCAAAGGGTATATGTTTGCACATCTTACTCCCTACCATTGCAACATATAGTTCATCGCTTGCAGTGACATTTCAACGAACAATTTGATTTTCATATGAAAAGAATAGTACTCCACAAAAATTATAAGAACCCAAACTTAAACTTATGGTAGTTCCAATTAAGCCTAAGATTTTCTTATGTCTAAGTCGATGGTGCTATATGAGACATCACATGAGTCACGAGGGATTGAACTTTTGGTAACATAAAAATTCCAGACCTCGCGGAAATATCTATAAAAAATGAAGTTCTTTCGGATTTCGATCTATCAAATTGCACTGATTTTAAAGAAATTTGGTTTAATTTAAATTTGGTTTGGAACTAGTTCAAATCTGGACAGGAATTTCAAGGTTACAAAAAAAATCTCGCTTAAGATATGTCAGTGCGATTTGCATCGATCGTCGTGTTTTTTTTCTTCCTTCCTCTACTTTGAAGCCAACCTCAATTACTTTGACGATGTTAGGGTTAACTTGGGGTTTACATGCTCAAGGTTTTCTTTTGTTATCAAAACAAAGGGTGGCAGACGAAGCAGACTAGAATTGGATAGCCCTGAATATCATGTGTTGAGACATACTCCCATGCTCCAGCGCCATGTGGGCCGTTGGATCTCAGATCTACTGGTCATAGTGAGACTCCTAGAACATGCACACAAATATGGGACTCTCGAGGCGGTTTTTTGCAAATTTACAAAGCCTCTGACCATGATCAATGGATCTCGTATCCAATGGCCCACGTGGCCTTGGAGCATGGGAGCACCTAATATTCTCCCAAGCCGAGAGTACTATTTTGTCTTCCAAAGCATGGATTTAAAATTTGGATTTGCTAATTTTCAGTCAACACCGAGGACTGTCGATCTTGATGATGAGATTCATGCAAGTTTTTATCTTCCCCTAGCTACCCTTTTTACTGAATGAACAAGTTTTCGTAGCACGATGAACATTTTTCGAGAGTTGTAAAATCGACAATGAATTTGTTAATTTTTAGGCGACGGAGACATAGGCACTCCCTTTAAAATTTCATAGCTAGTTACCCGCAAAAAACAAACTTAGCTAGTTAGATGCTTTTTTTTCAATGTTATCAGTCCGCCTTAGAGTTTATTTGTGTAATTTCTAAAGAAGCTAACGAAGTGCCTGATATACCAGTAGGTCCAGTACACCTAATCCATACAATATTCCCCTAAAAAACCTAATCCATACACCATACAATACATGACCCCCTATAACTTTGGTAACATATGGCACGATGCCGTGCAGGGAGATCAAGCATCCATCATAGGCGGAGCCATAGAGTTCATACGTGAGCTAGAGCAGCTAATCCAGTGCCTCGAGTCACAGAAGCGGCGGCGCCTGTACGGCGACACGCCACGGCCGGTCGCTGACGCGTCCGCCCCGGTGGTGCCGGCGACATCCATCCACGAGCCGCCGCCGCAAGGGCACGAGGCTGCGCCGTTCTACGTCTCCCCGAGCCTCTCGTTCCCCGGGGCGGGGAACGGTGACGGTGCCGCCGGAGCCAAGGTGATGATCGACCTCGACGCGTGCGGCGGCGGGCTCCGGGAGGAGGTGGCCGAGAACAAGTCGAGCCTGGCGGACATCGAGGTGCGCGTGCTGGGCGAGGACGCGGTGATCAAGGTCCTGTCTCGCCGCCGGCCGGAGCAGCTGATCAAGACCATCGCCGTGCTGGAGGAGATGCACATGTCCATCCTCCACACCAACATCACCACCATCGAGCAGACCGTCCTCTACTCCTTCAACGTCAAGGTACGCACGAGCATTCATTTTGTGTACCAACTGAATGCAGATCAGATTATCGACCGCGGGATTGAATTGCTGCTTCTGATGTTAGATCACGAGCGAGCCAAGATTCACGGCCGAGGAGATCGTTGGCGCCGTCCACCAGATCCTCAGCTTCATCGACGTCAACTACACGTTATGACCGACCCATCCCTTTACTCAGGATTGAGCTTCTGTTGTCGATCTCGACTCGATTAATTTCAAATTCTATACGTACATTGTGCGCTTAATTATATTTTTTCCTCCCTCGAGTACTTGTGCTTAATTGTATCTGTATGACGATATACACTGTTCCTTCACTCTCGTATGCATGTAAACTGATTAGATGTACAATGAGTGACTCCATATATACTCTATAATGGGGTTGTCTATATGTAAGTTATCTGAATTTTCAAATATTTCATTTAATTTTTTTACCAGCCTTCGTTTGCGACCAAGAACTAACATGTTTTTTTTTCTTTTTGGTGAATGAACTATTAAATTTCTTAACGTGGTGTCCCTGCTACGCCAATTGGTGAGCCTACTCGAAAGATATTCAACTCAAGTGATTAGCACACATAAAAAAGGGAAGGGATTTGGGAATAACAACTACTATTGATTCATAGAGAATGAAACAAAATTAGAAGAAAAAAAGGGCAAGCAACAAAAAAACTTATTATTAGTAGACATAATTCATGGACTGGTATTTTTTATTTTATTTTTGCGAGAATTTTTTTTATCTCTTCATCTTCAATCATGGTATTAACTGCAAGAGAATGAAACAAAAGAGATCCGGTGATATTTTGATGGTTGTTAATAAAGCAACGATTGAGGTTTGAAAAATGCAGGTGGGTGATTTTGCTGTCAAAATTCATGTGTATTCGAGAGTTGATGGCTTTATTTTGGTTTTGGTGGCAGTATATGGGGCTGCCCAATCAGATCTTAAACCTGCTTTCCTAGTTGGGTTGAGTTGTGATTTGTGGCTATGAATCTTTACCCGTATTGGTGTTGGAGACTTTAATACTCCCTCCGTTCCTTTATGTAAGGTGTGTTTGTTTTTTGATAAAATTCCACAATGTAAGATGCATTTTTTTCTAATTTCTCGTAATTCCGTTTTTGACCCTCTAGGAAAAGAAAAGTATATCTCCCCCGATTGCATGTGTCTACTTCTAGAGAAAAAAGGGAATGTATCCCTCTCCCGATTGTGTGTATCTCTTCCTTTCCTAGCCTAAATGATTTACTTGCTGCTAATCAACGAATTAGACAAGAGTAATTTCGTCCTAAATTATTAATATTTATGTGCCTTGGTCATCATGCCAGAAATAATACACCTTAGATAAAGGAACAAAGAGAGTATAATTTAGAGACAGGACACGGAAGGAATGATAACTTTGACGCTAGATGACCCTTTACGTTCGATGCTGTTATTAAAACCTAGATTTGAGATAGCTCTTTCGGGTCGATGGTATAATTCGGCTAACGGTCTGTAAACACCAACGTACGAGAAGTTGGATCATATCTTGGACAAGTTTCCTCTGGTACCCATGTGGGCACTTTAGAGGAGTATTTCTGGCCAGAAACTTCCTCCTCCTCCCCCCTCCCCCCTCTTTTGGATTTCGATGAGGCCGTTGATGTGGGGAACAAGACCGCTTTGTCATTTGAGTTGTCATGCATGATCCGGGCAGGAAGGACACCAAGGTTGAAGTGGAAATTTAAGATCCGACATCTGAGAAAATTATTTCAGGGCTACGCTAAGAGTTTGAGTGGTGTTTATAAGAAAGAAAAGGATCAATTGATTGCTTTCGTTGAAGCTTCCGACATTAAAGCATAATCATTCCCTGTAAGTGCGGCAGCATATTATGTCAAGCGGGAGGTAATGCGCGAGGAGGAGATCAAATGCGCCCAACCTGCTAAGGTTAGACGCGCTTGGGAAGGGGATAACAATACAAGATTTTTCCATTTGATTGTGAGTGGCAAGCATCGGAAAAAATCTTCCAATTAGAGCATGTTGAGAGGACCAATGTCTATAAGCTTACATCATCAATTATTATAAGGAAATTTTTGGTTCTCTATTGTCCCATTTTGTAACAATAACAATGGATGAGGGCATTACCTACGATACACCCCAACTCTCTCCCGAAGAAAACGCTGTATTGACAAGTTTTTGGAAAAATAGGTGTCGGGGCCATTGTCGGGGGTCATCCAAGGAGATATATTGCCAATGTTTGAGGACTCATACATTGATAATTTTTTGTTGTTTTGTCTTAACTTCGGTATTATTTGTTGCTTCCTAAGGAGGATGCGGTACAAATAGGGTAGTTTAGGCCACTTTGTCTGTTGAGTGTGAGCTTTAAGAGATATTTATGTGTATGACGGATTTGAATCTCCACTCTCCGTGATTTTATAGAGATACTAGATATCTTGTTGGGATACCCCATTAGCTCTTCACTCCCCGAGTTTGTATATTAGTGTGTAGAGGAAAGATGTTTATGCTGCATTGGTTCTTGGGGCAAGTCATTGAACATTTAGTTCCGACAGGCTTGGGTTGTTGATAAATGGGTGTGGTACATTTAGTGCATAGATAGATGTCTATCAACCTAGCATAAAATTACCATTGAACTGCCAAAACGTCATATATTATGGTACAAAGTGAGTATTTCACTGGAGGTTCACTATTAATGATGTTTTCATAGTCAAATTCATGTACGTGGATCTCATAAACACATACTCCATCTTTTGCAGACAACACATTTGAAAGACCAAAGTGTCGATTGAAATCAAGATTCTCATGTGGTTTTATGCACCGGGGTAATCCTCATCAATCAAAATCTAGCTAAACATATAATTGGTAGGAATGTAAAAATGTTGTTTCGGTGACCAAGAGAAAATAATTCAACATCCTTTTCTTTCCTGCCTGTTTACCCTTTTGGTTTGGCGTCTGATTCGTATAGCTTTCAGTCTACCTCCGCCTAGGTGCCTAGTAGTATATCGAATTTGTTCCGGAACTGGTTGGCTCAAACTACGGATCCAGACCTTATGAACAGGCGTCCTAGGACCCAAACCCAAAAATCCACATTTTCACATGAATTTGGCTCAAACTATGTCTTACAACTGCAAATGCATACAAAAATTGCTTGCGCGAGTGTTGTTGCATCACTGGTTCACTGGCCTGTCCACATTGGCATTTTATCAAACAGCTAGTGTCCCTGCTATACGAAGCAAAAAGCCCCTAACGGTGGCCGGCGCTTCCCGGCTTTCTCGTCAGATCACGGTCGCTTCACGCCGCCGCCGCCGGTGCCTCTGCCGCAACAAAGGTCAGCCACCGAACCCTCCTCCCTTTCCTACCCCCTACGGATGCTTGGGCTGTACTTCTTCTCTTCTTACTACCCATCCTGGATGCTGCCCTCCCCGCTCCATTGCGGCTGCTCGACGATAGGGCTCGCGCCTCTGGGCGCCCGGAATTGACCGACGGCAACCAGGGATTCCTCTTCGTCTGTATGTAGTAGTATGTGCTTGCGTGCAATGCAAGGTGCTAGCTATATCCGTGGAAAGGGGATTATTCCCAAATATCCAGCCAAGAAATGGAGCATCGTTCACAATTGAAAAGAAATGGGCAGATTGACTTGAAATGCTCCTACTTGGTTTACAACACAATCTTTTTATCAAGCTAACGAATCCGATTCGGAGGGTAATCTTTGTTACAACAAAATGAGTAAATGGCTCACTTTAATTTTCAGCCAATCCAAACTTGATCCTATCAATTTTGAACCGAGCCAATCACCTGTTCAAGGTCTGAATTATTCTAAGAAGCAATCTCACTGACGAATGAAAATATAAATACATGGCTTTCCTCCCCCTATCTATGTGTGGCAGCAGCTATAACTAACGCCACATGCTTTTCACTCCATGTAGTTTGTACACTAATATATGCCCCAGCTCCCTCTGGCACCTGCAGAGCTAGAACTGCTACCCGATGCTACCGAATTTTTTGTTGCGCTGACCTCACAAGTTAGAAGTTCTCCTTGTGGAAATGGAACCGTGTTGTTGTCGTGTGGCTGAATTCTATTGCAAGTTCCCTGAGTGTTTTTGTAAGCGTCGGAGATCCACAATAGAAAACACCTGCAGAAGATTTATGCAGCACCATCTTAGTATATATATCTTTGTAATGTTAAGTAGGATTCGACACTTAAATTTTGATCAGGTGCACACAAAAAAATAAAAACAAATGTGACTCGCCTATACGAGCATTCTTGTGGGTATTTGCCAAATCAGAGTACACCTTTCTCCAGTTTGGCCTTGCAAAATGTGTCCGGATCTGTGAAACAGCGGTCAGGAAAGGAAGCAACCATGGTGTATCTGAATCTTATTGCAGTTAACAAAGGGAGGGGGAAGGGAGGGAGAAAAAAACCTTGCTGCCGGAGACGATATCCACACCATTTTTTGCGTGTTGGAGCGATTGAACCATGGCAATCAGAGCTGACCTCGCATCTCCTTCCTCGTACACACTGGTTAGGTAGTTGTGCATCTCTATTGCATTCTGTACAGCAAGAGATTAAGTTATTTTTCTTTTACAAAACTGAACTATGTGGGACGTTGCTGTTTACTGAAACAGTTTCGGTTGAGCAGTACATCGCTATCACATTCAGCAACTTCATTCATGACACCTTTGAACCATTCAAAGGAGCCTTGTTCCCTGGTAACCCAATAGAAGTAAGCTCGGCTTGGCCCGTTGCTCTTGAAGCTGCTGCCTGCCTCCTCGTCATTCATGCTTTGCTGCTCCTGTTGAATCAAATTCATTTTAGGCTTTTGTGCATCTGCACTCATGTATGAGAAATAACTTTTAGTGACTGAGTTACATTATTAGACTTTATGTTGTGCAGGAGATCCTTCAGTATGCTGATGAAAGGAGTTGCACCAATTCCAAGGCCAATAAGGAAAAGGATGTCGTATTTCTTGTAATTTTGAGCTGGTGCACCGAAAGGGCCATCAACAAAGATCTTGGGAAATCTAAATAAAGAAAGCCAAGTCACTAAAGTTAGTGCAATATCGCCTATATACATATCCTCAAGCAATTCCTTAAGAAAGCTTAAGGTATAATCACCTAGTATTCTCGTCCGCGCCTTCTGCTATGACTGTGGTCTCAAGTCTTGATAGTGTAGCCTT